AAAGCCATCAGTTGGGAACTCAAGAGCTTACACATGAACTCAAAGGGTGTCACATCTGGCACATGGACCATCTGGCCCGGCAGGGACCATCCTGAGGAAATGATCAGTAAAGCAAGGCCCTGCCTGGAGGAGCCGTCCCCAACCACACACCTGCCAGCAGCCCCCAGCCCCCAGCTCCCAGCCCGGTGCTCCAATCCTTCCTCTCCACAGCCCCTCCGACTCGGACAGCAGAGCCCTCCTCCTGAGCCCCAGCTTCCAGGCAGAACCGGCCAAGCTGGCTTCCTCACAGTTGCACAACTGGAAGTTGACCTGTGGATGAAGAAAACCACGGGTGTCCGGTAAGTTTTCCTTTGCAGGTCTCTCGGGGCCATGACCTGGAGGGACCTTTCCGGGCACCAGGTCTGGCTTTTCTTGCGTCCCCATGGGGCGCCCAACGGGGAGAGCACAGTATAAATCCCGGCCACCTCTCCCAGCAGGCAGGGACCGGCAGCTCTGCTCCACTGGGACTCAGGTGAGGGGCGACTCCAAGGACTGATTTGTGGAAAAGAACTGACTGTAAATTCCTTTCAAAATAATCATTCTGTTCTGTATTTGTCCTGTATGAGGTCTGAGCTGGGAGGATGACACACAGTAAATGCTTGTCGATTGATGACAGGCCGCTCCAGGCAGGGACAATCTGGTCCCAACTGCCCTCTTCCTCCATCAATGCCGCCTTGGGGACTCTCAGCCAGCCGGGCAGTCAGGGCTCACGGGGCCAGAATTAGGGCTGCGGCTCTGAGTGGGGACCTGCTGCAAGGTTCCCACACAGGCTCCTAAGAGTCTCCTGAGAACAACTGGAATTTGCAGCAGTGGCTCCGTGACATGCAACTCCCAAAGTGGGGTGCGCGGGCCCTGTCCTTGCCCCCTGACCTCTCCTTCCTTTCAGCACCATGAAGCTTTTCACGGGCCTCATCTTCTGCTCCTTGGTCCTGGGTGTCAGCAGCGAATGGTATTCGTTCCTTGGCGAGGCTGCTCAAGGTAAGCACTGGAGGGGGGGTGGCATCCGTGGGCCACTGGGACTCACCCCAAGCACATGCAAGGAGTGGAGCCACTTAGGTGTGTTGTCCTAAGTGCTAGAAGGTGCCCGTGTCTGGGGAGCTTTTGATCAAGCGGATTGAAAACCAGAGGATTTGTGTCCATCAGTTACTAGAGAAGGAGCAATCATCATTCCCAGCTGAAGCTTCAGTTTGGATAGTACTAACAGAGTAAGTCTTGCAATGGCAGAGAATTTTCCGCAGACACATTGCACAAAGTATGATTAAAACTGTTCGTCTTTTCTTCTTCTTTGCCTCTCCCTTCATTCGCTTCCTCCTTTTCTTCCTTCCTCCCTTCCATCCTTCCTTCCATTTCCTACCTGGATCGATTCAGAGACACCCTCAGCTTAGCTCTCACTGATGCTTCCTATCTTCAGTGACACTGCCCCTGTTCCCTACCCCTTCCTAACATTTTACTTGACCAAAATAAAAAATAAATAAAAATGAGGAACTAATAACATCTACCAAGCTTGCACTAGGCAATTTAGGGTGACCAACTATCTTGGTTTGTTTGGGCCTGAGGAGTTTTCTATGACACTCTCAGGGCTCACTGGGATAGTTCTAGGTGAACGGGGACACTTCTGGTCGAGCTGGCACACGTGGTCACCTACTGTGACTTCAGAACACCTCGGGGAGGCAGACATCGTCCTCCACTTGAAGGGGACAAAACGGGTTTAGAGCAGCCGAGTCCATTGTCCAGGGACTAACTGCCAGTCAGCAGGTGGCCAAGAGGAGGTTGGAACCCAGCTGCGTATGAGGCCCGAGTCCTTGCCAGGCAGCTTCCTAAAGCTGGGTGGCTCTCGATCTCAGCTACGGGTCAGAATCACTCGGAGAGCATGAAAGCTAGTGATGCTTGAGATCCACCCCCAGAGTCTGAGGTACTTGGGCCGGGTGTGACCTGGTCCCGGGATTTTCAGAGGCTCCCAGGTCATTAGAAGGTGCAGCCAAGTAGGGCTGATGGGCCACGGCTCGACCCCTTGCTTCCTCAAGCTGCCGATATCATCGGTACAGCCTGTTTAGAAGGTTTTCAGGATGCCGTTTATGCCCCTAACACCCAGAGGGACTCGGGTCCCAGTTATGCGCCCTCATTCTGCAAGTATACACCTCCTGGGCCTCAGGGCAGAAGTGCTGTATGCCTGGGCCTTTCCCAGAAGGTGCCTTCTTGTCACCTCCTCACTTACCACGTCCCCTGGACCTTGTCACACGCGGCTTCATTTGACAGCAGTGCTGCCCGACCGAGGGCACTTTTGGGCCCTGGGGACAGTTGGCAATGTCTGGAAACACTTCTGCTTGTGACCCTCAGGGAATATGTTGCCCACCTCTAGTGCGGAGAGGTCAGGGATGCTGCTATACATCCTACAATATCAGAACGACCTTGAGCAACAAAGAATTGCCCCAAATTTCAGGGGCGCTCAAGTTGACAAGTCCTGTTCTGTGATACCTCCTTTCTCTCGTTTAAACAGCTCAGGCAGAGCCCTAAGTGAGATGCAGACATAGACCCGCAGGGACAACACACCTGTGCCCCACCCACACGACTCCCACTAGAGAAAGCTGGAGAAACCACCTAGGATGCAGACTTGTTCTTCTCAGCCTGTGCTATCCAAGGGGACCAGGCAGAAATCTGGAGTCGGTGGCAGATTTGCCGTCCCTGATTCTTCTCTGAGGTGTGCCAGAGGCTTTCTGTTCACGTGATATCCCTTTTGCTGTGACCTTTTCTCTCAGGGGCTTGGGACATGTGGAGAGCGTACTCTGACATGAGAGAAGCCAATTACATAGGTGCAGACAAATACTTCCACGCCCGGGGGAACTATGATGCCGCACAGAGGGGACCTGGGGGCGCTTGGGCGGCCAAAGTGATCAGGTAACACGGGCTCCCAGGGATGCAGGGCTGGGTGAGCTGAGCCTGGCTGCCTTGGACAGTCAGGAGGGGCCAAGCCCTGGAGAAGTCTCCTATACACTGTGGCTCCTCCTTCTCTTGCCCACCCTCCCCTCTGCGCCCAGTGTTGGCGTGAGTGGCTGATGGAGTCAGAGCGAGGCCAGGAGGAGTGGGTGATTCCCGATCCTCCCCCTATGGGTGCTGTTCACCCAGTAAGGGATCAGCCTGGACTGAGATGCTCTGTTTCTGGGCCAGGGGGTCAGTGTTTTAGCCCCTCTTTCCTTGGCTCCTGTCAGCAGCTCTCCCTTGCAAAGAAGAGAGATGGGAGTTATGGGCAATTGCTCCTCAGCCCCCTAATTAATCTCCTACCTGCCTTCCTGCATTCCAGCGATGCCAGAGAGAATTCTCAGAGAGTCACAGACTTTTTCAGGCACGGAAGCAGCGGCCACGGAGCAGAGGACTCGAAGGCTGACCAGGAAGCCAATGAATGGGGCCGGAGCGGCAAAGACCCCAACCACTTTCGACCTGCTGGCCTGCCTGACAAGTACTGAGCTTCCTCTTTGCTCTGCACTCAGGAGAGGGGCTGGGAGCCCTCTGAGGGCAGGGACACGTAGTCATTGAGTTCTCTGTCCACAGAGGCTGATGGAGGGCACCTGACAGGTGTCTAATAAATGTTTAAGAGATTGTTGAAAAGTGTGTTCTATTCTTCGGTGTAAGGACTGTTCATTCGTTCTCAGGGGTGATGGATGGACACCCAGGTGCAGGCTGGGCCTGTGCCCGTGTGGTTGGTGTGGGGGAGGCCATGTCAGTGTCACACAGGGCAGACGCCCTGCACCCACCCTTCCCGGATCTGACCTGCTGCCTGTCCAGGCCCTTCTGCTTACCCTGGTGCTCTCTCCAGGTCCCTCCGTGTCCACACCCCTCTCTCCTGCCAATCGTGTCCTGTCTCCTTCTCTGTCCTCAGCTTCCAGTTCCCTTTGATTTGTTCCTCAGTGGTACCTGTCCCTGGGGGCAGGAGACACAGCCATGGGAGGATGCGACTATGGAATCCTTCTCTGGCCACGGCCACCTTGACCTTGTGTTGCTGCTGCTGTTGTTGTTTTTTACATTTCTGTAAGTTTATTTATTTTTGAGAGAGAGAGAGAGAGCAGGAGGAGAGGCAGAGAGAGAGAGAGAGAGAGAGAGAGAGAGAGAGACGAAATGAAGCAGGCTCTAGGCTCTGAGCTGTTGGCGCAAGCCCTATGCAGGGCTCCCACTGACAAACCGAGAGATCAGAAGGTGAGCAAAGTCAGATGCTTAAGAGACTGAGCCACCCAGATGCCCTTTTCCTGACCATTTTATAACGCGTCCTTCCCATGTGACACTGTATCACATGTCTACACTGCAGTTCCTCGGTTGTAACCTGCCATTAGGAGCTTCCGTAGCAACTGATCAGGGTCGAGTCCACCCACTGGGTGCTGGAAGCTCCATTTTCCTGGTTGTCCATCCTTCCACTCCAATTCCTGCTCCCTGAGAGGAGGAGGAGAGAGAGCAAGAGAGATGAAATCAAAGCGGGCTCTAGGCTCCAAGCTGTTGGCACAGAGCCCTAAGCAGCACTCCCACTCACACACCGTGAGATCGGGAGGTGAGCAAAAGTCAGACGCTTAACTGACTGAGCCACCCGGGTGCCCTTGTGTTGGTTTCTCAGCAGCGCCTTCAAATCTGATTAAAACCAGTTGTGTCCATGCCATCTAAGACTTGTGTCCAAAGCAGTTTTTCTCTGCGTCACCTCACTGCCTCACTCAAGCCTAAATGAAGGCATCAGTCCACCTCACTTGTGATTCTTCCCTCACAGCTCCTGCACCTTAACCAGTCGAATTGGGGAAATTCTAGTGAAGAGCCAGCAGAACGAGAAGACCCCTCTTATCAGTTGAGCGGAATCAGGAGACAGAAACCAGTTAGTAACTGGAGTTGGGAAATTATCACGTAAGGAATTCTTAACTGGTACACGATTCAGCTCTAAGTGGCACAGAACACACAAAGCGCAGATGTAGATTTGCTGGAAATCCTGCAGCCCGTTGGACGGCTGATAAAGACTGCTGGGTGTCCCAAGCCAAAGCTGACAAGCAAGGACTCTCCCACTGAGGTGCCAAGGGTACTTGGCAGGAAACCGCGTGGGCATGCAGCTGAACTGGGACACAGCGGGGGATGTCGCAAACTCACGGGAGGCAGCCCCCATGGGGGCAGGAGGGACAATGCTGCTGATGGCCCAAGGCCAGCCCTGAAGGGCCAGTGCCGTGGATTGAATTGCATCCCCCACGCATCAAATTCCTATGTTGAAGCCTTTACTCCCAATGTGGCTATAAGGAAGTAACTAAGGATAAATAAGTCAGAAGTGTGGAACCTGGTCAGATAGGATTAATGTATTTGTAATATCAGATACCAGAGATCTTGCTCCCTCTTTTCTGCCCCGTGAGGACACAGCTACAAGGTGTCTGTCCATCTGCCATCCAAGAAGAGAGCGCCCACCAAGCACCAAATTAGTTTGCACCTTGATCTTGGACTTCCCAGCTCCCACAAATATGAGAACTACATTTCTGTGGTTTAAGTCACTCAGTCTGTGGTATATGGTTAGGCAGCCCCACAACACAGGCAAAGTGCTATAGAACACCCTGGACATCCAGGGAGGCATCCCGGAACTTGTCCAGAAACTTCAGTGGGATACCAACAAAACTGCCTGTGGTGAGTGTCACTGGGTACCCCGCACTTGAGAAGAGCAGCCCAGGAGCTAGAAGGAGGCAAAGCTCAGGCCTGGGAGAGTCTTTCTTTCCCGTGCGTCCCTCCCGCGCCCTCTACTGACAACGACTGGCATCGTGCTTGGCTGGCACAGGAGAACTATAACAGGGACCAGCTCCAGTATCACAAACAGGGCAAAGGAAGGCGGATATGAAGCTCGAATACATAAATTGATAACTGCAATGCGACTCGTCTCTGAGAAGGGAACTGATGAGAATTCCTAATGGATGAGGGTCAATGACAAATCTCATTCATTGTTAAATAAAAGTGTGGCTAGGAAGCGGTTAGTCCCAAGAGACTTCTGGTGCCCCTCAGAAAGCACTAGGGGCAGTGCAGGTGGAGGAGGTGTGGGAGGCTTGAGGCTTAGTGCGACACGAGTGAGTCTACGTCAAAATGAGGCAGGAGCAGGAGGAAGAGGTGAAGGCCACAGTATGGCCACTGGCTAGTGACAGCAGGCTCCACATGCTGGGGAGATGGGTGTGCAGTGTGTCCAGCCTGAAAGGACCTAATGAGATGTACGGGCTGTTATTACCCCTGTTTAACCTTTATTTACTCCTTCCTCAATGCTGGCCCTTTCTTCCTGCGGATCTCAGTGTTTATTTTACTTCTCTCTAAAGAGCTTCTAACATTTTTTCAAGGCAGGTGTATGCCAACAACCCCCCTCACCTTTCTTTTTTAAATTTCTAAATGTTTGTGTATTATTGAGAGGGAGAGAGAGAGAGAGAGAGAGAGAGCGAGAGAGCAAGGGAGAATGAATGGGGGAGGGGCAGAGGGAGAGAGGGACCCAGGATCCAAAGAGGGCTCCGTGCTGACAGCAGGTCTCAAACCCGCAAGCCACAAGACCACGACCCGAGCCGAAGTCAGACGCTTCACCAGCTGAGCCACTCAAGCACCCTGTACCTCACCTTTTTCTTTTTTGAGAAAGTCTTTATTTCTCATTCATGTTGTAGGATAACTACACAGCATACAGAATGTATGTTGGTGGTTTTTTTATTCCCTCCAAACACGTTAAATAGTTCACTCCACTCTCTTCTCGCTTGTACACACTAAAGATAAAGTGGAGGGGACAAAAGATGCATCAAAGTCAAGGGGAAGCGGGAGGGGGTGGGGTCAAGCCCACAGGGGTGGTAACCCCGAAGGGAGAAGAAACATCTTGTGCTCTGAGAAGGAAGAAAGCTGACAAGAGGCGGGCAGCACACTTGAGATGGAGGACAGGGACCTCAGGAACTCAGCTGTACCTGCTCCTGCTGTACCCCAACCCCAGGACTCATCATGCTCGACCGTGCTTGTCTGTGGATGTGTCTGTCTTTAGGGCAAGCAGGTAGGAATCCCAAGAGCAAAAACCATGGCTCTCCTATTGTATGTCAGCCTTGTATCCACAGTACCTGTCATAGCACCTGGCAAATAGGAGTGCATTAATACATTTCTGTTGAAATGAATGAATGATGTAGAGAAGTAGTGTTCAAAAGTAGCCAGAACCAGGAGGGAGGCTGGGATTGTACAAAGTACAGAGGTTTGCTACAGGGTTTGATATGCAGAATGTGGCAATGAGGCACTCGGAGGTGACTACATAAATCTACCCCCAAATCTCTGCTAAGATACACAAAGAATGACCAAATTTTACTTTATCACAGAAAATATGTAACTTTCTCTAGGAGTGCTTTGTGCTCTCTCTCTCATAGAAATGCAAATTAGAAACCTCAAGTGTACATAAATTCTTAGTAGGGTTTCTGAGGAGAAGCCTTGGGAGAAAGCAATACATACTTTAAACTTCCAGAGTAACTTGAGGGTCAGGTTAGCAGAGAGCACTCTGTGAGAACAGAGGAGATGAAAAGGCACGCTGCATTTCTCTGAGTGCAAGACACCATGGATTGAAAGAAGCATTATTTTTTATCAACCACCAAGAAAAAAGTGTTGTTAATTAAGTCACGATGTAGCATTTTTTCTTATCATTCACCATTCTTATTTTATACCTATTGAAAGAGACCCTTTGGACCTCCTTAGGCGCACATTTATATCTTCTCTCACTCTTGTGTAGAAGCAAAAAAGGGGAAAAAAATACACAAAACGGATTCCTAAAGCAATGACAACTATTTTGTGAATGCTGCCTGGTCATCAGTGACTGTAAGACATGTCCTAATTTCAGGAAATTATACTCAAGAAATGCGTATCTTAGAAATAATGAAATATGCCAATACCATTTAAGCCTATACAGGTTTGCTCTCATTACATTGACTAGGAAGAAGTAATAGGCTTACTTATTGTTAATCACAAAGTGTCCCTGAGGTGAAGTTCAGCTCTACACCGGCACCCCCAGCCATGCAGGACCTCCCCCAAGAGGTGCTGGTGTATCCACCACTGGGCCTGACAGTGGCCCATGTTCCAAGCCCCTCTCTAGGAAAGGTGTTGCCTCAGCTGGCCCAGTCACTGCCTTTCCTCTAACCTCAGTGGTCTTCCCGGCAGACCCCCAGAGCACCGAGGGCCTCTTCCCCTCCTGCCCAGGCCTTTCCTCTATGGTCCAGGGGTGGCCGAGGTGGTGGCGATTGCCCAGGCCTGCAGTGCTACCTATTCATCATGGCGGCTCATTAGATCTGGCCTGCCTCCTGGATGCTCTCCCTGGGATGTGGGGTACATGGAGCCTCTTGGGCCTCAAGGTGTGGGAGGCAGGGAAGAAGTGTCACTCAACAGCCTGCTTTTCAAACTCAGGTGCAAAGGGGGTTCTTTCACAATTCTCCAGTTTCCCAGGTTTGCTTTTTGAAATCTGTAACTAGGGGAG